CTCTCTCTCTCTCTCTCTCTCTCTCTCTCTCTCTCTCTCTCTCTCTCTCTCTCTCTCTGAAATAAAAAAGATTGAAGAAACAGTGGGAAAATACATGAAGATTATAAATAACATTTAGTGAAAGAGATAAGATAGTGTATAATAACTTATTTATAAGCATCCCTAAAATGTCATTACTGTGTCCAGCTGCAGTTAAATTTTAAAAAAAGTGTAACTCTACTTAGGAGTCAGGAAGAAGAGTTATTTTTGTATTATAAGACAGTGTTTGAATATGAATTATAATTAACTCTATTGATATTATATGAGAAGCAGTGTTAATATATGGTAGGCCAAAATCAGAAGGATTTTCAGTCTAAATTTTATTTAAAAATGTGTGCTTTCATGAACTATACTTCATTTCATCAGATTGATTCTGTGATTTCCTACCATCTGATATTAAAGTAACCATGATGAACTTGTATAAAAAGTATGTAATTTACATAGGAATTACAGGGTGTAATCACAGGATTACCCACATACAGTATCAGCCTAATTTAGTAACCTAATTTTCTAGAATGGTGTTTCAGAAAAGCTATGCTACCTGTCTGCAGTAGTATATGGTAGGGTTGGAACTTCATAAGTATTTTGTTTAGCAAGCTCATATCATTTAAAACTAATGCAAGTTAATTGTTTTCATGAAATCTGTTAGTCTGTTAATCTATTACAGCTACATCTATTTACATGTGTATCCATAACGCTATTCCCTTTTGGGAACATTATGCAAACTACATAAATGTATTAAGAATATAAAGCTATTCCCTCAAAAGACATGAAGTAATAAAAAGCTACACCAACATCATCCACATTGCCCATCTCCATCCTACCCTTGATTCCACCACATTCAAGAATCTATGGTGAAGGTCAGCTTAAGAACCGCTAGGTTGCATTCATTGACTCAGGTCACAAATTATGCAGACCAACTATGTTGATTTGTTTTAACCTTTGCTTCCATCTAATACTGTCATAAATTTTTCTGTACAAATCACAGTAGAAAGGTTTATAGTATATTTTCTGCAAAGTTGAAACAAGCCAATTGCATCAGCACAATGATTCTGTGACTAGTCTCCTATACAGAAAGTTTTTAAAAAATCATCAACAAAAGACCAAAAAGCATAATTCATGGATACAATCAGATGAGATCAGCACTTCCATTTAATTCAAATACTAGCAATAGAATTATATCTATTGCCATCACTTGATACACCAGTCTAATTAACAGTTGCCAAAGACAACTGCTTTATTCTGTCTAATGATAGGCTAACCCAGAAAAAAATGTTTGATCCATCTGTCTTTAATTTTGTAAAGAAAAGTACTAAAGGTCATTGTGGGAGGAAGGGACAGATTTGTCTAAGCCAATCAAAATCATTCATTATCATCACACATAGCAGAATTCTGTAATTTGCTCTGTATTTCTGTAGAGCTTGTCAAATACCTAAATAGACACACTATTCGACTGTTATTATCAAGGAAATCTATTCTGCATTTTAAAATCTCTCTATTTTGCATCTGAATATGACAAGGTATTATGCCTGGAACCATAATTTCTTCTGGGAAAATAAAGACGTACAATTGTTAAGAGAGTAGCTGAAATTGTTGAAAAATCTGGATAGAAATCTTGACTTTACCTGAAGATCATTAAAAACATGTTATAGGGCCATATCTGATATGTACCATCAATGAACTTGCATTACCTATAAAAATTTGCTATTTTATTTTGCAGGTGAAACATACAACTAGACGCATAGGTTCGAGTGCCCACATGATCACCACAGCAAGGGTACCTACTGATAAACGGATACGAATTGCCTTCAGTCTAAATGATTCCCCAGGTCAGTCTGCTCAAATATTCTTTCTCTGGTATTTGTTTCTTCCAATTATACTGACTATACAATTCAAAGAAGTACCTGATTTTTCTTAGGTGGCTGAAATTATTTGTTCTCTTTTTTCTCTATAAAATATCGACAAAGTATCCTGTATGTTCAAAAGGTTTCCTGTCAGTATCATTTAAAACATTATATTCAACTCTAAATTTTCTGAAATGTTTAAATTTGTACTTTTGACCATTAGGTTATTTTTTAAAATGACAAGATCAGTCTCAATACTTAAAATATCTCAGTTTCATTCAAGACCAAAAATCCATCTGGATTTTTATACATACTGGAAAGCCTGACACCTGCCTTCTGTACAACTTTGACTAATTCTCATATTCATCACTTCATGATTAGCATTATTGGTGAGAAGTCCTGTGAGAAAGGCCAAGCTGATGGACTCCCCAGGATCTGGGAAGTTTCAAACTGAGGGTGGGAATTTGCAACTAGCCTAAATCCAACTTCCTGACTAGGACACCTTCCTGGACAATGAGTGATTTAAAGAAGACACTTGAAGTATAAATAAACTGTGTGAGCTGTACTGATGAAAAAGCTGTAAAAGTACATAGAAGGACGTTATGAATAAAAAAGAAAAAATGTGCAAACTGTTCAGGATCCTATGTATGTGTAGAAGTAAGTTTGGAGTACCTGATTTGAACTGCAAAGAACCAAATAACCATTACATGGCAGTAAAGATAGCCACAAAACTCTTAATTCTTTGCAGCCACCTGGTGATCATTCAGTTTTTGCAGTCCAGTAAATAGTAAGATTTGACTCTCCAGTAAGAGAGTTTAGGACTGGAGCATTAATGTAATATGGTCAGGAGTTAATTTGCCACCATTTTCTGCATATAAGCAGGTCTTTAGCAATTCCATGAAGTAGAAATTCAGCAACTACAAACCTTGCCTGCTACAGGAAGATTGTCATATGTTGGACTTCCTTTCTGACAGAAAGAGCAACATGTGCCAGGCACTTAACATCCATTCATCTATTTTCATTGCCCATGATTAAACTCCACAGGGATAATATTTGTCCTGGCTTGTGGAACTGGAGCTCCTTTCTAACTGAACTTTTGTTGTGAGAAAAAATATATTCTTTACCATTTTCAGGAAGATAATTATTAACACATCACTTCACGTTAAATAAAAGAAGCAAGTTGGGATTCCTGCTCAGATATGATTACTGTATGGTTCATAAACATACTTAATGGACAAAAAAAAAGTAAGAAAGCTTCTTGTATCATTCCTTGCTGCTATACCAAATGAATCTTAAATCATAAGAATCTTCCATGTCTAATCAAGCAGACACCAGATTTATGCAATTCTTGTCTGTCAAGACAAAAAAAAAAAAACCCTGTCAGGTACATGCTCACTTACAGCATTTATTGATGTATGCATTACAGAAAAGGCCTTTTGAAATTAAATTTAATAGAACTTCAAGTATTCATTCCCTTAAAGTCATTCAGCAAGGATAACATATTTTTCTTAGATTCTCTCATGCACAAAAGTGCATATTCATGCAAACCTATATGTATTTCATGTATTCCTGCTATTCTCAATCATCTGAGCCAGGACCAGCTTCCCAACAGACAAAATTAAGAATGCTTATGTGAAGCAGCAGCTGCTGACAGTATGCAGAAAGATACTGGAGAGGACAGTTCTGTGCCAAGAAGCTTGTTGTGCATGCTAGCTTATTGGTCTCAGGTGGCCATCACCTGTGTTAAAAAAAAAATTAAATTGCCATAGGCATAGCAAGATCAATTTCTGACAGAAATCCAGCTTTGGGTAAGCAAGCCATACTCAAACATACAACATATACTTACAAAATAGTCAGTATTCACTCCAAGCATCACTCTAGGTTTTGTTTCAACAAGCCAGTTTTGGGATTGCCTAGAAAAAGTGAGAGCAGGTGAGACAGTGATTACTAGGTTGCTGATACAAAGCTGGAGCCCTGTCTGACTATGCTTCTGGCTTTGTTCACTGCTTGCCTTGTGCAAGCAAAACCAGAACTCTGACAATACTTGCTATAGCCTTTTCTTTGGGTAATCTAGCTGTTGACTTGTATAGGCAGAACTGGGGTGATTCTGGCAGAGATTCTGCTCATATGTGCAAGTTACCCAACATTCAACAACCCCCTCAAATTATGGCCTCCTAGGGGTTTGTGGCTGTGGTCCACTGTTTGGAAATCCCTGACTTAGCATGTCAGCGTTGTCTCTGGGTGCCATAATGCAACTTCCTATCTGTCATTTTTCCACATTAGTGATTAATTCAACAATACTTAGTTTAGAAGAACTAAAAAGCAAACCTCAAAACAAGTTAAAAGAATCAGTCAATTGCCCTTATAGCTTTTGAAAGTAGCAGAACGAAGCCCATTATAAGAAATGTACCATTCTATACTATACACCATCAGGGCACTAAAAATGCTACTTTTTGTACTATTGACAAGTATTTATGATGTTTACAAAGTAATCAGTGAATATCTGCTTAAAGAAAAGGGTTGCTATGCGCTTTTTGTATGAAATGAGTGAAGTAGTATGGACTAATAGGATGGAGGACAGATTTTAGATTTGAATGGGAGGGCTTTAACCTTTTACAAAATATATAAATTACAGAATTTTTTTTCTGAGCAGCACATCCTATGGTGTGCTCTTCAAATTGCCAGAACAACTCTCAGTCCTGTGCAGCTTTGATCCTGTGTCTTTGTTGAAACATTTGACAATTACCAGTCAAACATGATTACAGCAGCTGTCCCATTAAGGAGATTGAGTCATGCTTCTCCATTCCTTTTGGCTTTTCTATGATTCATCTTTCTTCTTTTAGAACAATTGTCTTTCTTTAAAAAAAAAAAAAAAAGTGTAGGAGGCCACTGGCATGTAAAGCAAAATATCCGCATTCAGATATGAAAGTAAATTGTTGAGCCTAAATACTTTTGAACACTTTTGTTGAGATACAGATAGATGTTACATTAATTTTGCATAAGCAATTAACATACATTTTTGTTGTGGCTGTTGTTTTTCAAAAATTGCTACAGGGGACAGGAAAGATAGAATTGGGTGTTTCCCCAACTACCATCATCTCACTGCAAATGTTTTACATCTGCTTTATTAGCCACAAGTTTCCATCTCTTGCTAATAGGAACCAAGGGATTAAATTTTCATAAGTTTGTAACAGAGTGGAAAAAAGTAAAACTTTTTCTTCAGTCACCATTGTTCTCCATTGCATTTAAATGTTTAATATTATACATCTTACACATTACTGTATTTGTTATATTTACATTCTGCCTGTCTTAATACAGAGTGTGTCTGTCTCCTTACAGATGCATTGTTATCTGTTTCCTTAATTTGTCCCCAGAACAACAATCCAGTGAGATCAGCTGGAGAAGAGAGAAGAGAGAAGAGTTACTAGCCCAAAGTCAGCCAGTGAGGGGAATGGTGAACTTGACCCTGAGGCTTCGTGTCCTCAAGCAATACCTTAACTACTGTACCACACTTTTATTTTCATTTAACTAGGTCTCCCATACTGGGACTGCAAAAAAATGGAGAACCATTAGATAAAACCAAAGACAGTGTTTAATGTATACTTTTTGTGCTGTCTGGTTGTTGCCTGTATTTACGCAGCCTAGATACATTAGTCATAATTTAGCATAACATCCAATGTGGCGCTCAGAGGTCAGTTCCACTGAAGTTTAAGACAGGTATGGTAAGTTCACAGGTGCCTTCTACCCAAAGTTATACCTCTTCAGGGTTGAACTCCCACCCTCTCACGCTAGCTTGGTCTAGTTCTGTTTGACTAAGGCCCATTGTGTCATTTTGGACATCTCTATCTCTTCTACCTGGCAATTATTGATTTTATTCCACATTTATGATGTATTGTCACTGCTCACAGTAGCTACAAACCTGTTTTTATTGTTATGTTGCTTCTAATACAAAAACAGGATAAAAGAAAAAATGTAACAATAAGTTAGGCACCTGCTTTCAAAATATTTCCTTAACGGGATTAGAAGGATAAATATGCATATGACACTTACATAAGAAAAGAAACAGTGGAGATGGGCAACTCATCTAATGATTCATAGCACTTGACTTGAAAGAAAGTTTAAGGCTATTGATTGCTACTAATTATCATGGTTATTGTCTCCAATTTCAGAGGCAGTATGCCTCAGTTGCAGGAGAACAAATGCCTTCAGTTCTACTAGTGTTTTCTGATAAGTATCCAGGCCTTTGGATAGATCAGTTCTCAGCAGTACAGGCAGTCCTTATTTAACGACCACTTGTTCAGTGACCAAACTTATGACAGTGCTGAACGAGTGGTAGTTACAACTGGTCCTCGTACTTATGTTGGTCACAGCTTCCCTGTGGTCACATGATCACAATCTTGGTGCTCAGCGCCCAGCTTGCAACTATGACAGTCACATCATCCCATGGTCATGTGATTGCCATTTGTAACCTTTTTTTGCTGGCTTCCTATAAACAAAGTAAATGGGGAAGCAGGCAGGAGGTTGCAAATGATGACCATGTGACATTCTCATTTAATGGCCAGCAGTAATTCACTTAACTACAGCAACCAGAAGTGCCAGAATTTCTGCCGCTAAGCTTCACGGTCATGTGACATCAAGCTTTATAACTGCATTGCTTAGCAACAGAAATTCCAGTCCCAATTGCCATAATTAATTGAATGCCAACAGTGGGTATTTAGTCCTAAACATCCATAGGTCCCTCTAGTTTATCAAAATAGGAATCTGCTAAAATAATTTTACTGAGTTCCAAAAATTCTCAGTTACTGAAGTATAAGGGATTCCTGAAAGGTCACTTGGTTATGTAGAGTTCAGGATTCAGTATATGCCTTGTTTTCTACAAGAATCCTAGTACCTACCAACTGGAGCTTGATGAAAAGTTAAAATGAAAGAATTCTAAGCCCAATAATTTATTTAAGCACTAAAAAAAAATGGTGATCATAATCCTTCATTTAAAAAAGTATTCCTGGCTACCCCAAACTTTCTTAATTTCAGAAATTTAGTTTAGGTCAGAAACTATTGTATAGTTGCTGTGTTTTTGCATAGCTAGAAATAAGAAATTGTTGTCAGTCTAATGCTAATCATCCAGAAGTCTTTTAATTTTAACCCATTAATGATTTAGATACTATAACTGTAAATTTTGCTACAATATGTTAAGTCATCATACTGTAATTCCAGTATCAAAAGTTGCAGTTATTTAAATATCACCATCATCATCATTTTTGGTTTGTGGTAGGCGCTATTTGCTCAGGATGCTTAAGATTGCAGCCTGGATTTTTCCATACTATTATTAGGAAATACACATTTGTTCTGAAGATCTATTTTTGGTCAAAGCGCACTGTCTTCAGACTTTAATTTGCTGCTAAGATTAATCAGATAGCTTCTCTAAACTTTGTTATAAGGCACAGTTTCCATGTGAGTAATATCTTTGCAGACCAGAGCAAACATGATGCTAACTCATAGGCAGTGGGAAAATATTCCTGGGCCATATATGGCCCTCTGTGGTCTCTCCTTTGCAGCCCACTCATGATACCCCCCCTTTTTTTTTTACATGTCCAGCTGTTGTTACTAGTCCTTCCATCCTGAAAAACAGGTGATTGACTGACAAATATTTATTCTAAGCAAAGCAGTGTGAGGAGAGCACTGTTTATGCTCCTCTGCTAAGGGAGAACTACACAACAGCCTGATATTCAGTTGCATGTACGGTACTATACCTGGAGGGGCGGGGGTGTCTTCACCCCTCTGTTATACAGATAATGGGGGGAGGAGACTCTGTGTTTATATAGGGAAGTGTGTCTATCTGCCCTAACCAGCTTTTCCTTTTCTTTCTTCTTTCCCTTTTCTTTCTTCTTTTATTTCCTTTCTTTACTCTATATTAGCTTCTGCTAGTTTTTCCTTTTAAATTATATATATGTATGTATGTATGTATGTATGTATGTATGTATGTATGTAAAAGGAATACAGAGTTAAACATATTTCTTTCTCCACAGTCAGAGCAGGGTGTTGCCATTATTGTTGTTATCTATTAATCCAACAAATATCTGTATTAGTAATAACAATACCATTATCATTTCTTCCTCCAGATGGTCAACAAATCTCATAAATAAATAAATTATTGCTACAGAGGTGCATAACTAGTACAGTTTGGCATGAATTCTTACATACTGAAACTCACACTAATCTCAATATCATCAGAAATCTGAGCAAAGCTTGAAGCACCTCTACTTTTGGGCAGAAACTGCTGTTTTTGAGATGGATTCACCAATTTAGGTAGATTATTTCTGACATGCTTCCATAAGATACTTCACTGCATTGTGATGGTGTGACATGTAAAGCACCTCCTGAGGTATCAGATTTATTTTGTTCTTATCTAATTACAGGTACAGGTGATGGTCTGATTTTCATCAGAACCTCAGCCTGGGTCGGGTAGGGGTCAAGATCCACATATTTGTAATAATCACCCAAACCTTAAATAAAGATGTAGGCCAAACTATATGGGTGCCAAGTTTTTCTAATAGCAGTGCATAGAAGACAATTTCAGTCAGTGTCAGCTAGAGGGTTTAATCTTTCTCTCTTTCCACCCCCTCCCCCAGGCTGAGATTCTGATGAAAATCAGGACCACCACTTGTACCTATAATTAAATAAGAAAAAGAATAAATCTGATGAGAATCTTCCTGAGAAACAGCAGTTTTGATCTATATTATGCAGTAGTGAATTAACGTTTATACAGTAATATTTTTGTTCTGTCTTTTTAATATACTTATATGATATATGCAAACTGCCTTATAAGTTTTATCCAGAATGGTTTGGTGTAGGCAACTGTAATATGGTGAACATCCATAGAGAACAAAAAAGGAATTTGGATAGCCTTATTCTTATATCAAAATCTCTGCAATTACATTTTGTCAATAATTTCGTTAATCAAATGAATGCTAAACTTTTGAACTGTAATCCTATCCACATATATGGAATAAACCACATTCAACTCAGTAGGATTTCCTTTGAGCAGACAAACTGTGCTGACAGGTTCTACCTCTCTTCAGAAAACCACTGGTACTAAGAAAAAAACTAATTTTCGTCTTACTTATGAGAAGGTTATTTTTAAAAATAATTTAGTAAGCCAAAGGAATGATGGATGAAATACCTTGTAATATTAGCCCAAGATTATATACCATTCCACATAACATGCATGCAAATATGTCACTGGGATATAGTTTAAACTAATCATTGGAAGAGTAAACGACGTGCTCCCCGCTGAATCCGTCCAAGTTTTCCCCTTACCCAGACTGGTTTGTGCTGCCTGCCATATGGCAACTTGCCAGAGATCTGGTCATTCCATTCTCATTCCAGTAGAAAAAGAGGATGTTACTATTGTCCAGCTGCTCATTCTTGACATCCCAATAGTCTTTCATGGTCCTCCCTGAAGCTCTCAGGACACTTCAGACAAGGCGTTTTTGGTATTGCGACATAATCCCAGAGTAGAAAATACATCTGCTGCATATCTTAGTATGAAGTGGGCACATATGTATTTTTAGCTCTTCATCTTTTTATAATAAATTTAAATAATGAAGCAAATATGAGGCCACCATTCCTCATTTAAGGAATCTTTATAGTTTCTTCTTTTACATGTTTACATACAAACAACTTTATATGCAGTGTGAGCAAGGCAGCCCTGACACACAGGAGTAAAACTAAAGAAATAACACGAGGGCTTAGTGTGATATCTCTGTACAGTCGGGTATATAAGGCCTCTCTGTCAGCTTATTTAAGCAACCATATTTCAACTACTCATAGACTGGCAAATTGTGTGAATCCAGAATACTATTTGATGCCATTAAGATTCAAGAAGGAATAATATTTATTTTTATAAGTATTACATAAGCTTACAGTGTAACTGACTTTTGAGAATTTAAAATTTGAATAAAGAACTGCAGCTAGGAGGATTTCAGAGAATAATATGAATAATATTACTAATAATACATAGTAATAATGAATAATGGGATTTGAGAAAAAAAACATTCAAAGGACTTGCTGTATTTTATCTAGGCAAAAGAAGCCCATGTACGGCTGTTTTCAATATACAGAAACATAAGACAAACGAATAAATGGCAAGCAATGACTTTAGGGTCTTTAGAGACCCCTTTAGGGTCAGAGTCAGGGACTATGAAAGTCATCACCTGGGTCAGACACCATGACCCAGGAGTCAGTGATTTTTTACATGAAACCTCTCTGCTGCTTCTTTTGAAAGAACATAGGTCTTCTATTAAGACCTATGTTACACAATACATGAATAGGATTTGCCTGTTTACCCAACACACTAAGGTATAATATGATTTATTGCTTTCAGTTTTGCATGTTGTGACCACAGTTGTGATTTATTCAAACCATTATCTTAGCATATGTGAATGCAGTTTCAGAAGCAGAAGGTGAGTCAGTCCAAGCTTCAACTAGAGCCAGCTAACAGCACCATCACCAGTTGCTTGAGGCAGAAAATGTAAGCCAGTTAAGCCTAAAAGGGTATCCAGAATGGCTATGGCTAAATTACTCTTTAAGAGTTCAACTGGTTATGTACCAATGCCGACCTAAGGTCGTTGCAGAAGCACTGTATCTCTTTTCCTTCTCCTACTCCCTGTTTTCCAATACACGTACTTCTTGGCCTCTGACCATTGCTTCCAGCTCTGAACATAGTTTGTTTTACAGTCTGCTCCTTGGCTTCTGATCCTCTGATAGCAATGTTTGGCATTATAGTCTATTGTGTTTAGCATTCTGAGACTAACAGAAATTTTAGTGTTGCATTGTAAAATACAGTAGCACCAAAAGCGTTACAATGGTTTCCTGTGGCTGGAAACAGACTTGGTGAATCCTCAGAAATATGGGATGATAATTTCTAGTACTTCAGTGCCTGTCCTTTCTATTTATGAAGAAGCAACAAAGGCAGCCTCCTTTCCACTAAGGCTCTACAGAAACATCATATCACTCTTCTGCCCATCTTCAGGGGGTGGGCAATTGTATAACTGGAATGGAAAGCTTGAGTAATAAGCAATATCACCTGCAATATCACGATTCTTACAACACATGTCATTGTGGAACCAAATATGAGATCCAGGGCATAAATGGCTATGAAAAATTCCAAGGCTGATACCTTCAATGGTCATTTATATTGGATACACATATGTACTTATTTTTTTAAAAAAAGAAATATACATTCTATAGATATGGGGATAGTACATAAAATGTGATAATCAGTCACATAATAAGTCAATCAAAATATGAGTTCTGTACATATAAGGAAACAAAGATAAGCAAACTCTAATCTTTATATCGAGAGTTTATAAACTTATGCTTTTATTTCAGATGATTCACCCCCAGAGAATGCCTTTCCTTTGGCTTTTCCAGATCTAGAACAGCAGCTCCAGGTGCCTCTGTTTTGTTTTGTTTTTCAATATTCAAAACAATAATATGAAGCATACTTTTAAAATTATTAGTAATATACTATTGTTAATGAGAATCCACATATATATGCAATTAAGCTATTAAGAGGTTCTCAGGTAGTATTTGGTGTAGAATAGTCATTGTGGAGAATGTCTGAAGAATAATCCGATCTGCAAGAGAAGATGTTATAATGGGGAGAATTTAAGAGAAAATACAGTGTATTCTGCTAGTGCAGTTAAGGAACTTTTCTTGGAACAATTATGAGATGATACAGTTCTTCCTGAGGTAAATAAACAAATAAATAAATACATTCTAAATTTTCTGGTGCCAAATTGTTAAAAAAAAGAAAAACATTGCAATACAAGATTCAATCCAATGAAGAGAGGAAGGAAATATAGGACGGGGTATTAAAATCTCTTAGTTCTAATTGTGTAGCTCCATTAGAGAAGTATGTGACATCATGGGGAGATAAGAAGAGGTCAGTTTGGATTGTATGTGTCATTTAGATGTATGTTGGCAGGTGAGAAATGGGAAGTCAAAGATTCTGAAAAAAAGAACAGTAAAGAAATAGGATTTTAACTGCGTTTTCCTGTAATTCAAAGCTTTGAATTCCTGTAATTCAAAGCTTTCGAGACATTTTGACCTTCAGCATAAGCATAATTTGTGGCAAAAGCTTTTGTACTCTAAGCAAATGAATAATATCCTGCAGTACACAAGAATCTCTTAATAAGGGAGTCCTGAAAAAACTTTGGAATCACTTTCTTTGGGCCTAAAGAACTAATAAAAATAAATATTTAAAATCTTTTAAGCCATTAATTGCATAAGATCCTCTAGCTGAGATTACACCATTGTTGTAAAACACTAGTCCTAACTGTGATATTAATATTGCATGATTTGTTCAGTTAGTGCTCTAAATAAGCAAAACAGTCCTTTTCCCTATCGGTTGCCTCTTGATCTTCTCATTAAAAGTCTACTGGAAAATATTTTTTTACAATTTTGTCAAGGTGTGCCAATATTTTGAATGTACTGCCATGCAGGCACATACAGGCATGTTTGTAAGATTCAAGACCAATCAAATTATTTTGGAAATTAAAATTTACAAAACAATTTAAATGAGCTGCATATTTTCTCAAAGGGCCTTATTCCTAAATAATTTTGCACAGTATTTTATCTTTAATTACATGAAGTTTCTTTATCATTTTTACATTTTTTAGACTAAGATTTGACTCATAAATGGACATTTTATAAGCCTCAGGGAGGGCAAGAACTTTGTTTACTATAGATGAACTGAAGTATACTCAACTGCTTCAGTGAAATAAAATCCAGATCCAGGCTGAGATCAAGAAGCTTGAAAAAGAAAGAATGTGTTTTCCGTATTTGATTACTTCCAGGAAAGTATCACCCACTCTGTCTCCCATATCAAAGAAAACAGATACTTTCTAGCAAAGTGCTAGCTAGTTAGCTAGTTAGGCAATTCCCCCCTATCTTCTTGTTAGCTTATCAGACAACTCTTAAGGAGCAATAGTGCAGAGATAGTGGAAGTCTCAACAGGCAAACTTCTCATCCGGTTGTCATCTTAGCAAGGCTGTGATGCTTTTGTTTCTTCACTTGCCTTGTTTCCTTTTTATTCATGATGTGCTTTTGTTTCCAACTCCTGCATGCAGTTATGCTCCCTATCCTTGGGTCATCCTTTTTAACCTGCACAGATTCACACCTTACTCTAAACTAGAATTTGTTTTAAGAATAGCTTAAAGGCCATAGTTGCCTGATTTAGACATAACATTAAGCAGTAAATAAAAAAATTACACATCACAATGGCTAAGTTCGTCTCTCTTGCCAAGCCAAAACTAAATAAAGATTGCTAGAATCAACCTAAAACAAAAACAGAAAGAGTGGATAGTCATGACATGTCACAACTGATTTAGACACATGTCTTCCTAAACTTTTTATATAATGATAAGTGCCAAGAGAAAAAGGGGGGAAGGAGTGTTTGATGTAAAGTTCTATAAATGTCAAAATAATAATTAATCATTGTATCAGTGGTCTTCAATCACAGTGTTTTGGAAGAATAACATTTAAGGAATATATCATATTGCTTTTAAACTGTTCTAACAATCTTTGCTGGTTCTGCCTTTTTTGGCATGGATTAAGTGGTGTTTAAGAAAGATTTATCACATGGTTTTTACCAGTATGAATTCTGTCTAATTCTATGACAAATTTTCCTATTTTTCATAACGTTCTCTTTAAATAATATCATATTCTTTCCAGTTTAGTTCTGTATTAATTTTTTTTTACTTTCTTATTGTTGTTTCTTAATACACCTTACTTATTCTTGCTTTTCTTTGGATGCTAGTTGTTTTAAGTAGGTAGAATCAATTATTCTCTTATTCTTATCCTTTTAGTTCACTATTTTGATTGTAATTGCCTTCCCATTCCTAACCTGCTATCCTCCAAATGCACTGGATTTCAACCCTTAATTCCCAACAAGCATTCTTTGAAGAAGGCTGTTGTGATGACTGCAATACTTTATCTGGCCTTCTCAATGTGAGCATAGTATGCAGGACCATTAATATATAAAAACCACTGCTATATAGTGTATGTAGGAACTAGTATTGCATATTCATTACACAGTTCAAAGTGTTTCCTATTCACTGTGTTTAGAATTCTGGATTAGAATTAAGGAAGTTCCAAGTTACTCTACATGCCTATTTTTTTGCAAACTTAATTGTCTATTTCTTATATGGTCAAATATGGCATAAACCTCTAGAAATACTGTAGATTTGTTACTAAATATTACAAATTGCTTGGGCTACTTCATGCATGGCATTTATTTCTCTTGCCCTGAAGCAGTTCTTCCAAAGAATAGTGTACATCATCATGTGTGAAGTCTACAATATATTTATTTTGTTGTTAATTCACACATAAGCAAGAGCACATTCCTGTATAAACTTTTTCGTGTTTTGCTATGTGACAATTTTGCAAAAAAGAAGAAGAATGAGACAAAGGTGCTACAAAAGTAACATAGTCCAATTTTGAAAAAGAACACTGAATTATTCACTGGTTTATGTAGCATAACTTCAGAATCATCTGCTACCTGTTATCCTGGGTATAGATCAGTATGTGTTCAGATGGAAAACAAATTAATTTAGAAGGCTAAGGCTGAAAAGCTATATGCTTAATTAAAATTAAGTAATTTCTGTTCAACTCTTTGGGAGTTACTTCTATGTATACTAATATTTTTTTTGAAGATGGCTTTGTCATTGATGGGAATCTGGGATAACTATACATCTTCTAACTCAGATACAGATCTGACCATAACAGAGGACAAACTATGGATTTGGTGGCAAAAATGGATAATTCTAAAGATACAAAATATAACTTTGGTGGAGACAACTTGAGCTCTTAAAATTAAAAAAAGCAATCCATACAAGTGGTTTACTAAAAATGACATTACGGGAATGAGAAGCATGGAAAGAGGGAAATGACAGATTTGTTAGACAGATGGGCTGCCTTTCTCTTTATAGAAAGGGAGGAAAAGATAAGAGCTGCTTAAGCCAGGAATAAAAAAGTTTTCTAGTTTTGGAAAGGGGATTTACAGAGTGAATAACAATAGAAACATTCATGAGAGCCTAAACACGTAAGGCAAGCTGAACATAGTGTACAAATCAGAAGTATGCATTTGGTCTTTTTGTAAATAGGGGGGAAAAGATCATTAACCTGAACTGAAAATCAGTCAAGTTACTGAAATACTATATGAAGCAGTTGCCCCTGAACACAGGGAATCAGGCCTATTTTAGACTGTTGCTCAGGAATTCAGTTGCTTCTGACACTTCTGGTAGTCATCATTTCTCAAGTATTATCTATCATAGCTACTTCTTTGAGTTGCAAGCTCTTGCTGGTATCATCAGTGATAGCATTTAGCCATCTTGCCTTCTGTGCTCTTTTTCAATTACTTTAGTTCTTTCAAGTATCAAGGTCTACTCCATAGACTCTTGTCTTTGCATCAGGTGTCCAAAGTATTTAAGCTTGAGAGCTTCATTATTGATGCTTCCAGGGAGCTTCTGCTTTTGCTTTGTCTAGTATGGAATGATTTGTTCTTACTGTGGTCCAAGGTAACAATTTCCACAGTCATATGTTACAACTGTAAAACCATGGTCTTGACAATGTGGTACCTTTGTTCTCAAATAGCTATAGTGAATTTCATATTACTGCTATAGTCTCCTGTTGTAATAGAAATTGTAGTGTGCCAATAGTGATATATGTGCCTGAAAAGAAATATTGAGCTGCTAATATAGTAGATAATGCAGTCCAGGAAATAAATATTCATACATTCCTTCCCCTGAATATTGTATCTAGCCAACTGCACACTCCATTACTTTCTTCTGTCATGTTCTGGACTATTTTGCTACAGAGTATGCAAAGATCAGGTAAAAGCCTGCCTAAACTTTCATCTGCCATATCAGATTCAGTAAGTGATAAAAATCTGATCTGGTCATTTGTTTGGTTTCATAGGGATAAAACACCCCTTGCATGCTTTTAACCACTAAACCTGCTGTTACTTATAGTTGTTGTTGTTACTATTACTAATATTCTGAAAAGTATTTAGTTTATTTCATTCTAAAAATCCCAGAATGGTATATAGTAGTAGAAAATCCATTAAAATGTTATTATTTATTAGTTTACATTCTAAGATTAAACCAATAAACATTAAAATTTGCACAGCAGTTTTAAAAAATGTGTATATAAATTACATAGAAGCCCAACACTTTTATGTATAGCTTTAGCCTATTTTAATTGGCTGGTGCCTTCCTCACAGCTTTGATTGATTTTCATGGAATGGACCCATCACAGATATGGCCAATTCCCATGTTGTAAACAAGTGGCAATCTGTAACTATACTATGCAAAGCATGTGCCCCTCCAGAGTTTGTAGGCATCTTGGTGGCTGATATATTTAAATTGCCATTCATTCGAGTCGGGTTTAG